CAAATTGGAGCTTCTATGGCCCTGGATCTTCTCTGGTATATTATTCCTTTATTTCGGCCAATTTCTACTATTTTTCCAGCGATCCACGGTGCCTGGTAGAGGCTACCTAAGTGTCCGCTACTGTGTATCCGTCGCCCAAGCCCAGGCTGCCCCAAACCCTTTATCTTCACGCGAAGAGGTAATTAGAGCCAGGGTGCCAAATCGTGGTCGGCGGGGCGTATTGCTTCCCTTGCCGAAGGAGTTTTCACTCCTTCGCGGTAGGGGCTACCTTGGGTCCCAGCCAAGTTTACGGGCCGCTAGCCGTTTCCTTCGGCAGCCCAAAGCCCTTCGCCCGCAGATCTAAATTACCGCTGCGGTGGAATTGAGCCCGTGGGGAGGTCAAGCTCCCACCGGGCTAGACTCCCCCGTAGCGGTAATTTACACCAACGGGCGAAGGGCTCTTGCGGCCCGGAAAACGAGTTCTGGCTTCCAGGGTATTTAGGGGCTGGCACCCAGGCTACGAAATTCCTTCGCTCATTTCAAATTCACAGGTGAGCTTTCCATCACATGGGCGCACTATCATACAAGGTACATGTACGCCGCCAATTGAACTCACCAAAGGCAATATTCTGTACATGATTCGAACATGAATACTCACATAGCACTCCTCAGGTGGACGCAGGAAGCTGGAGTATTCAATGTTGAATCTTGCTGAAGGTGTTACTTCCGGATATAGATGTGGGTGAAAGGTGAAATTAGGAATGGCATGAACTTTGCCCTTGTTCTCTCCCAGTGCAGTGGGTCAAAAGGCAATGCCAAACGCCGGCTATAGTAAAGAAACTTTGCAGTTACACATCAACATGCACTCAGAGCATTTTATGATGTTTATATAGCATTATTGACATACCCGTACGGCCACAAGCTCACATAGCTTACTTGTATACCTGTACTCACAAGTTACACGTAGGCCCCCTTTCTACTGAATGGCGACCGCTTGGTATGAATTTATAAATTAAATGTGATATATCATGGGAAAGTATGATTTGAAAGACAACAGAGCGAACACAATTTACACACTACATGTACATGTACACTTCTTTATCGTTTGAACTAATGAGATTTGGTAGCTCAAAGCTCGCCTCTCCAGTGAAAAGGGGTCAATGACCGTACGGCCAACGTGGTTTCGTATGTGATCTAGCGTACAATCAAACTTGAGCTTTTCATAAATGCCCCGTGTTAAGAAACCTGTGTGTGTGCGTGTGTGTGTGTGTGTGTGTGTGTGTGTGTGAGTGTGTGTGTGTGTACATGTATGTGTGTGCGTGTGTGTGTGTGTGTGTGTGTGAGTGTGTGTGTGTGTACATGTATGTGTGTGCGTGTGCGTGTGTGTGTGTATATGTATGTGTGTGCGTGTGTGTGTGCGTGTGTGTGTGCGTGTGTGTGTGTGTGCGTGTGCGTGTGTGCGTGCGCGCGCGCGCGCGTGTGTGTGTGTGTGTGTGTGCGTGCGCGCGCGCGCGTGTGTGTGTGTGTGTGTGTGTGTGTGCGTGCGCGCGCGTGTGTGTGTGCGTGCGCGTGCTGTGGGTTGTAATGGATATGTCTGTCTGTCCCAGATGAATGACGAAAGTCATTAATCACATGCCTTTGGTAAAGCTTTCTATTTTCACAGATTTCTTTAGTTACACGACCTCCTTGACAGGTCTTGACACGACTCCTCAACATATCGTACAGACCCCTTTGATGAAGATCTTAGAATTAAAACATCTATTCATAAAACGTTTCTGATTAGTTCCCGGTATTTTAATAGTCAATAGTTCCAAGGTCAAGAACGACAGCGGGGAAGATCTGGAGTAAAGCCCCCATAAGAGCCCATCTCTTTTCCCCCAACTCGTCAAAGTGCGAAATCTGGATGGGAATGACGCTTCCGTCGCGAGATACGGATTTTTTTCCAGACTGAATGCTGCAAAACGGGGGTGTGATAGGGTATTAATATCCGCTTTTTGAAAATTTTTTTAAACATGAAAAATTTTTCGGCTCCTTGTTTTCAGAGTATACCCCTAATGGTCTCCACTATACATGTATTTTCAACCTCTGAACTATAATATGTGTCTGTATGTTGCGTATATGAATATTATATGTCACTTTGTTCAAACCATAGATTATTCCCAAAAGGGGCTAATAAAGTCACAACAAACTCAAACACAATCACCCCTAGCTGATCACTGAAAATGTTTGACAATCCCACATACCCCAAAGACTGCCTAGCGCGGGTGCCACCTTATTCCATATTTGCTGCAGGGGTTGCCGTATACTCCCTCCTTAAAACATGGAGAAAAACCTGAATCTCACTACAGCCTACCGGTATATGCACCCCTTTCAACTCTACCTTCCTTCGCAGACTTGTTGGGCGGCGTTTATTTTTTTTCGGTGAGCGACGAGAGTTATGCCGATTTTACTGCCGAGGGAGTTTTTGCCATGGAGAGAAGGTTTCGCGGGAAACCTCTCCACGGCAAAAACTCCCTCGGCAGCAAAATCGGCATAACTCTCGTCGCTCACCGAAAAAAATAACGCCGCCGCCCAGCAAGTCTGCAAAGGGGGCTACTTCAACTCCCCCTCCCCCGACTATTCTTTCATGCCGATGGTAAAATTAATGCTTTAAAATCCGAAGAAAAGACCAAACAAACCATTGTGTCATTGTATGTATCAGTTAAATCTTCAAGCAGAAACGTATTCATTTTGCCTCCTAACATCTGCTTGGAGTCTGATTGTGCACCCTCCTCCCCCTTTGTTTATTTTACAGGTAGGACCACCTGGACAACCCCCCCCCCCAAGTGGTTGACTCCCAGCTTCCGGGACAACAAAAAGGGAGTCAAATAAATCGCATGAGAATAAGGATTCATGATTCTAAAAAAGATATACAAGTAGTTCACATCTTCCTCATCATCCACTTACTGTAAAGAGGCAAGAACACATCTATTATACTTTTACCGCTGTAAAAAGTTAGGTACCATGTCCAAGACATGATATCATTAAGAGGGTAACTCTTAAAGAATTTTGTTTTCCTTGAAACAGTTAAAAGATAATTTCTGCATCTGACGTAATCTATTCTTGATACTCAATATCAAATTTAAAATGTTAAGGAATCGTTTCATTTCAAATCTATTTAATACATTTTGAAAAAATGTGTCAAGTTTTATCTATAGTTGCACTTTATAAAACTGTGAATCTATAAAATCTGTATCACCCTCATGTTATACTAAATTGTCTTTCTTAATAATCTTACAATTAGATCTTTAGGAACTAGGAGGATTTCTATCTATTACTGTACAATCTCTGTCTCTCTTGATAAATTCTTTCCTCTCATGAAATGATCTTATTCTTCATGTACTTTCTGTAAACACTGCAGTGAGATGTGTGAACAGACCCCTTCTGAAGTCATCAAGCTTCAAGTTTTTCCCTTCATGCTTTCTTTAGAGGAATAATATTCACAGTCCTTTGGGTCCAGTTTAAATAAATCATCTATCCTTCTTAACATCGGCAGCTTGTTGCTTGGCCAGGCTACTCTGTTGCTGTTAACATACCTGAAACAGAGACAAAATATATCACTCAACAAAACAGTATTGGCCACTGAGTAAGTCATGAAATTATTCAAGTAAAGTAAAAGACATAAAGAAAAATATTCTGAGTTACACAAACACAATTTGGTAAATTCTTATGCTACGAATTACAGTAAGGCCACACCAAGTAAATTTTATGGATGATGTCCGCGTGCGCATTGATTTTGGCCAGTTCCTAGAAAAAAAAACAAGAAATTCCGCTCCCTGTAACTATGACCAAAGAGTCATGACAGTGCCGCAAATCGTTAGATTGCATGAAACCCGTAACGCGAAATGGGTAAAGAGCACAATGCTTTGTTTCTGCAGGCCTGCAAAAATGTGAAACAAACAGGACAGGACGACAACTGCTGTTTCACCTGATTTATTGCTGTTTTGATGATGAATAAAAGACTTCTTGCTTGTTAATCTGTGTCACCTCATTCAATTTGTGTCCTGACATTTGTCCTCTCTTAGTATATTTCTAATCTAGGCATCTTGTTTTTTAGGGCCCTTCTTGTTTTTTTTCGCCCTTTCACATTAGATTTAGGGTCTCCAAAGGACGTCATCCATAAAATTTACTTGGTGTGGCCTAAGAGATAAAGTAAACAAATTGTAGTGCAACTAACTAATAGTCTATGTAGTTCTTCTGCAGATGCTCTGTCCTCAGGATCATAATGGAAACCTCGGAGGAAAATGTCCTTGACTTTGTTGCTGTAACGGTCTGGAAGATCAGCTTTGGAGAATGGGTGGCTGCCAGAGTGTAGACAGGGAAACCTGCTGCAGTGATACTGCAACGGCAAATAATTCTTGAAGTCATAAGCAAGAAAAATGAAACTTTCTGCATGTACAAATTGAACTACCTGAGGAATAAAATTGGAACAGCAAACAGCAACTAAATAACAAAGAAACTATGATTCTTTTATCTGAAAACATGTCATAAAACTCACTAACCAGAGAAACATGCCAAAAACAAAAACTGCATACGGTGTAAAAATTTAGAGATTGTCACTCAAAGAAAATTTACTCACTGAAATTTTCAACTAAGTCACTCTTTCTTCCATTTCTTCTCTCTGGCCCAATTGCTATATGACCACATTATGGTTTTGTTTATTATATATGATGCCAAGCAAATTTCATCGAGTAATTCTTTGAGTTGGAGCACAGTAATGTATTTCACCAACTCTTCAAATTTTCTGAAAAGCTGCTAAGAGACATACCTCACATGGCTTGAAGTCGAATGCGGGTGTGACCCCCTCTAACATGCTGTACAAGACACACACGGCGCTCCAGACATCCGCCTTGCAGTCATGGCCGAGTCTGAAGCGCACCTCCGGGCTCTGGTAAGCATAAGTCCCTGTCGCAGGTTCACCCCTTGGGACAGCTGACACATTGTGGGGAAGCTGACAGGCAAGGCCAAAGTCAATCAAGACAATTGCCTCTCCTTTTTCTGTCACAACAATGTTGTCCCCTGGAAGCAAGAAAAATAACTTAAATATCTCCACCAGTACTTTGCTGTTGAGTTTGACAGCTGTGTATAGTGTGAAACAGCTCGGTTGGGTTAAGGCGGTCTAGGCTGATATTCATGTTTGAGTTCGGGTGTGTGTCTGCACGATGGCCACAGACATGCCTCAAACCAGAATCATTTGGATGTTTTCTTACTGGGTCGATTTTTCAAACCAAAAATGGCCAAAAATAGCTGTTTCTTGTGATTTTGACCCAAAACTAAAACCAAATACACATTTGAAACAAAATAGCCTCGGACAGAAATAACCTGTGTGGGGTTGGCTTTCATCTTGTAAAATATAACGATGGATGGTGTTATTACCGCCTGCGCGTAAATTCATGAAGTAAACGGCTATCTTTTAAACCAAAATGTGTATTTTTGACCCAAAATCCAGGTGAAGAAAAACTGAAGTACCCTTTATTCAATGCGTTTCAAGTACAACTAAAACTGTGTGAAGTTTCGTCGCGGTGTGACCAAGCTATCAAAAGTTACAGTCATATGTATAGAATACTACTTTCCCATAAGCCTAGGACGCCTTAACCCAACAGAGAGGTTTGAACTGTAGTTTGCAACACAAAACAACTCCACAAAGACTGCGGAGTTGAACAGTAGAAAATTTGGGCATGTCAGAATTTTTTGTGTTGATTGGAAAGTACAGTTCAAACCTGTTTCAGAATGACTTCTATCAACACAAAGGAACTTCCAAGATAAGCAGTGTATTATATTACAATGGATGCACACCAATTTATTAGTTGTTTTGTACATTATGTACACTATATTCTACCTTTGATGTCCCCATGGATGATGCGATTTCCATGCAGGTACATCAACCCTTCTAGTATTTGTTCCAGACATTCCAAGGCGACATCCTCCCTCAGTTTTCTGTTTACTGTTATGTAGGCTGTCAGAGTGTTTCCTAAAACAGAGACATGAAACTAGCTTTTAGAATGGTTTTATTTGGACTTTTTGGCTGTGTTATAGGTAATGTACGGTAGCAGTGTGTGTTGCCATGATTGGAGTGTGACCATATTTGGGCATAGGGCCAATGCCCAAATATGGGCAGCAGGTGCACCTTGTTTGGAGATCTGGTCACTGATTGGCTGTTCCATTAATTACTTTACTACTAAATGAACACCTGTGTATGCTTCCACATACTTATAATAGGAATAGTTACTTTGTTTTTTTACAAGTATTAGCCAGGAAAAGAAGTCTTTTGGGTTGCAAATCGGTAGAAACATGTCATAGAACGTACATTTCTATATACCTTGGTATTTTTTAAACCAAATTTTAAAATTTTTAAACCAAATAAGCTGCTTTCCTCTATTCTTGTTGCTGATTGGCTGTTGAGATCTAATTGGGTTAACTGTATTAACAGCTTCACATAGCCATACCATATTGACAGTATTGAACTGCATTCAAGTGTTTTGGGGTAGATATGTAAAACTTTCCTTCTCAAGCATTGGAATGCAGGACATAAACAGTTTTTTTAATCTTGAAAATGAACAGCATTATGCAAATAAATCCTAACCAATAATGTAGGGGATAGCTATCCAACTGTTGCATTCTTAGTTATATGTCACTTCATACTATATTTATATCAATACAAAGCATTGTTTTCCCTTGTATTTCTTCTTCTTTCCCTGCCATGTTGTGAAACATGGTGAAGTCATGCTACATTTGCTCCAAAGCAAATGTTGGCCTCTCTAGTTTTAGAATGTGCTCCAATATGCAGTACATTAGGTGGCAAGGCGGCCCTATGATTACGGTTGTTGGTTCTTGGTTTGAGTCCCTGAACACCTACTTTTCTGACTTAACTAAAAAAATTGGGACAGCCTCTCAGATGGAATGTAAACTTTATGTTGGAGGGCCTACATGTGTGTTTGATATGTCTCCACTAGACTCCTTTGCAGGCTGAAGAAAAAGTCAAAATTGGCATAAAATTATTAACGGGAGTAAATTGGCCAGAGGAGTTAGCCAACCATAGAAGGACCAATTTGCCTTCACCATGTTTGAGGAGCGCCACACCTCTGTATCTGTATAGCCGGAATAAAACACCACCTCAAGCATGTTAAAGAACCCATCAAACCATACTAGTCTGGTCTCAATTAGGCCACACCAATTGAATTTCTTGGTTAACGGATTTTTGTAGAAAAATAATGGAGCGGGCGGGCGAAAAAAAATAAAAATGAAAAACAGGCCTAGGCATCCTATTATGGTCCAAAATGGTAGATAGGAGCCATGAAGTCAACACACCAGGCTGGTTCAAAATTTAAACAATGAATTTTGAACTTTTAATGACACCATTGCATTGAAAGATGGAATAACTGTAATAACTAGCTAGGATGAAAAGGACTGTTTTCAACTGTTCAGGGCAAAATATGAGCATTTTGCAGTTGATTCTGAATTTTTATTTTTATTTGCATTTAATCAGAAAAAAATGAAGTGGGCGAATCTGTTAACCAAGAAATTAAATTGGTGTGGCCTTATCCCATAAACTTTATATTTAGTGCTTCCACAAATGTGGTAAATCTCAACAACATATACCATATATATACTCCATGAAGTAGTAGAAGTCTTTGTCCCTCAGGATGCCGTACATTCTGTTGATCCTCGGGTGGACCAACTCTCCCCAAATCTCAATCTCCTCTGCTCTGTAACCAGGTGGGGAAACCTGTTTGATACATAGGAGCAAGTTGTAACTTAAGTTTAACAATTGGCTAATTGTATAATGTTACATATATAACATCTGTGTCCATAATATCACCAGGGTCCATAATATCGCCACCTTGAGAAACAGTGTGTTTAAAGATATTTTTACTGCAACATACTTTTGGTATGCACTCCTTCACACATCAAATGTACATACCTAGGGTATGTTGCAGTAAAAATATCTTTAAGCACACTATTTCTCAAGGTGGCGATATTATGGACCCTGGTGATATTATGGACACAGATGTTATGTATAGCAAGTAAAAATAAGATCTTAAACAAGGTTAGTTCAATGAACTCAATGATTAGTTGATAATGCACAACAATTATACAGAGTACAAAATATTTAATTGCATCTACTAGTACATATCAACTAGTGCACTTTCATAAGGCTAACCTAATACAAGAGTTGGTGGTTTATATGGGATATGAACTTTTATATGAAACTTCCCTCCTTACCTCTATATATGATCCACATGTGCCAATGGACAACACAACAAACAAAAGTACAGGAAGTATATACTAGTACCTGTTTCACAGCACAAATAAACTCAGTCATGTGGTCGACTGTGAGGTAGCAGCATCCTTGTTCACCACCCCCTATCTTGTGACCCAAACGCCAATGTGTATTCTTTGTATAGCGTCCATTAATTGGTGTCAGGTCCTGGAAGTAGGAAATAAGTGCGACTGTATATAAGGCCACAGCAAGTAAATTTTATGGATGACATCCTCCACACACTCCAAATCTAATGCCAGCGGGCGAAAAAAAACAAAGCGGGCTTAAAAAAACAAGGTTCTTACATTTTGAAATTTTGACTCAATCATTGTACAAATGGTTTTGATTCAATGGGGACATCACATATACACAGCCAGCATCACATATCACTGCATCAAAGTAAGAAACAAAACATAAAATCAGAGCCTTGTCTTGTATCCTCTCTTTATAGTTATCTGCCATCCACCTTCCGGCATGGCAACAGATATCTATTTTTGGCATGGTGACCACTGTCAGAAGGCAACAAAATTTCTTCTTTTTTTTTCCAAAATCAGGCAAAAATTAATGCGCGCGCTGATGTCATCCATAAAAATTACTTGCTGTGGCCTAAGAATGGAGCTTCTGGTTCCACCTGAGTACTTATGTTACATTCAAATTTTCTTAAGAACACTGTTAAGATTCCAAACAATGTACATGTAAACGCAGTGTAAGGCCACACCAATTCAATTTGCTGGTTCTCGGATTTGCCCGCTTAATTGTTTTCTGGATTGCAAAAAAAAAAAAACATTTCAGGCTCTGAATACTCCAAAATCCTCATATTTTGGCCCGAACAGTTGAAAGAAGTCCCTTCTCTTCACAAAAATTTTTCCATCTATCAGTGCAGTGGTTTGATTAAAAGTTTAAAATTCACTGTTTGAATTACAAACCAGCCTGGTATGTTGACTTCATGGCTCCTATCATAGCATTTGAGGCTATCATAGGATGCCTACTAGTAGGTCTGTTTTTATTTTTGTTGTCCTGCCGCTTTATTTTTTTCTGAAAAAAATCTGAGAACAAACAAATCAAATTGGTGTGACCTAAAGACCAGAAAAGGAGTTAAGTTCTCTTTAAACATTTAACACAGGCACATGCACACTCACATAGGAAAACACACACACAAAAATGCATGCATACTCACACTTCACAATTTATGTTCATCCCTTTTCTGATACCTCATGCAGGCTTTTCTTATACATGATATATTTTGCATGTTAATTATGCAGTACATCATGAAGTATTAGTACGTATACCTTACTGACGCTTTGGTATCTACAGCAAAAGCGCCACCTATCGGCTACATATAGCGGCGAGAAGCAGAACTCCAGTCAGAAGCTCCGAGCTAGCTGTCTGATAGACAGGTATGAATATTTGGTGTAGAAGAAAACCCTTATACCCTATACTTAACCTGGTGAAACTATTTCCGGATGCAGGACATCGATCATATAATGTATATCAATCATTGAAGTAACATAATTATAAAAAAAGTCATGTAACTGTTATCACTCACAAAAGAATGTTGAAGTGTCATCATTTTTATAATCAATGTTAATGTCTCAAATATATACTACTAGTAATATACCTCATGGAATAAGAAGTAACATAATTATAAAAAAATTCATGTAACTCACTGTAATTATAAAAAAAGCCATGTAACTGTTATCACTCAAAAGAAATGTTGAAGTGTCATCATTTTTATAATCAATGTTAATGTCTCAAATATATACTACTAGTAATATACCTCATGGAATAAGAAGTAACATAATTATAAAAAAATTCATGTAACTCACTGTAATTATAAAAAAAAGTCATGTAACTGTTATCACTCACAAAAGAAATGTTGAAGTGTCATCATTTTTATAATCAATGTTAATGTCTCAAATATATACTACTAGTAATATACCTCATGGAATAAGACTCCCTCCTCTTGATCTTGATTCTCTGCTTCTGCCAAGCTTGCCCAATACTGAGAGAAAACCTTGATGTCTGAAGGGGTTCCCTTTGCCACATAGCCGAGGCCTGGCCTGGAAAAGTCTGAGAGGGTGGGAAAGCTCAAAGGGTAAGCATAAGTTGGCGGTCCCAAGACCCCAGGTGGAAGGTCATGTCGTGCAAATCTTTCCTCTCCTTCCCTTGTCACATTCTGGTTGGTATCGTCCAGATATGCAGCAATTGCAAACTGATTTGTGGGTGTTTGGATGTTGTCCCGCTCCTGAATGTTTCTTATTCCAGGTGTGGATTGGACATCACCAAGTGACAAGTTGTTGAGTCTCATGTCGATTGCTGATACGCCTTCTGTGCCTCCTCGGGCTAGAAGTTTCTTAGTGTCTTTATCTGTTTGATAATGAGTTACGTCTTCTACTACACCTTGGTTTTCTGCATACAATTCTGGCAAAACTATACTTCTTTTGTGTTCCTGAGTTTCCTCTGACAGTATTTTCTCAACAAGTGGACGGATGTCCTCTATGGTAACTTGGGTCTCCTCATTTCTGTTTACATCTGACTCTGTAGCATTGAATGAGCTCCTTAGCTCCTGACAGAGAGAAATATGACACGTTCCACTGGTACAAGTTTTCCAGTGGTTTGTGACTCTTTTACAGACCTCTGCACACAACTTACAGCCTTGCTTGCAGTTCCTTGATTTGTTAATAACATGCTGCAGGTAAGAAAGGCACAATGTACAAGGAACTTCTGAACAGCTCTGCCATTCTGAGAGGCTGGTGTGCCCATGCCTTAAACCTTCCATGATGTAATCCATTTTGCTGATCTGCCTAAAAAATGAAATTGCAACATTTTGACACACACAGACAAACATAATTAGTTACAGTCAAACCTGTCCAAGCTGGCCACCCAGGGGACCAAAGAAAAGTGGTCACCTTGGACAGGTGGTCTCCTTGAAGAGGGTTGCCTCACAACATGACTGAAAAACATAGATAGTCGAGAAGCATCTTCAGTTCTGTGGTAAATGAATGTGGGTGAGGGTGGCACAGAAACAATTTACGTCAAACAAAAACATCATCCAGCAGTCAAGGGAAACTGGCTGGTTTCTCCATGATTTCTCTTTAGTTATCATCAATAATCAACATGATCACCATGTGGTCACCATGGGCAGGTATCAGGCCTTGAGCAGACCCAACTCAGAGTGGTCGCAGTTGCATTGACCAGGTGGTCACCTTGGACAGGTTGTTTGATGCTTGTGTCAATGGGGAAAAGTTTTGCGACAGAGAAAAAAGTGGCCAGATGGCCAGCTTGGAGAGGTGGTCACCTTGGCAGGTTTGACTGTACTCAACTTTTGGGCCATATGGAAAAACAATGCATGTAAGGTACCATAAGGTTATCAACTTTAGGTTCAATGTAGCGTTACGTATTCTATACAGTCAGGCGGACTGCCTATGTCTACAAGTAGAGAACTCAAAGTGAAATCTTCGGCCAGATCAAAGGCATGATAGCTGTCAATCAACTGCTTCTGTGGATCGGAAGCTCCTTGGAACACCTAAACGCGAGCCAGGAGATCCCTCTCTGATGATCTCTGATGCATGATGTGAGCAACAACCACCATCTGCATATACCACTATCTACATTGTACGCACTAGAATTTGTGAACTCGCTATAAATAGTAATGTTGCGTTACGTTACCCAGTATTGAAGGAATTTCAATCGGCATAACCCAAATTTATGAGACATCCTGGTGTACCATGGTGGTGGAAAGTGTTTTTCTCTTAGGCCACAGCAAGTAATTTTTATGGATGACATCAGCGCACGCATTCATTTTAGCCTGATTTTGGAAAGAAAAACAAGAAATTTTGCTGCCTTCTGACAGTGGTCAACATGGGTGCCGAAAATGGGCAATGATGTCTATTGCCATGCCGGAAGGTGGGTGGCAGATAACTATAAAGAGAAGAGACAAGAAAAGGCTCTGATTTATTATAATGTTTTGTTTCTTACTTTGATGCAGTGATATGTGATGCTGGCTGTGTATATGTGATGTTCCCACTGAATCAAAACCATTTGTATAACGATGGAGTCAAAATTGAACATGTAGGAACCTTGTTTTTTTCGGTCAATCTTGTTTTTTTCGCCCGCTCGCATTAGATTTGGAGTCTGCGGAGGATGTCATCCATAAAATTTACTTGTTGTGGCCTTTAATATAGGGATGGTTATCTGAAGGCCTGCATGGGGAGGGGGGTAGTGATTACGAATTACGCAAAATTTTCGCCGAACATTACAAATTACGTTAAAGTCTCAGAGCTGATTACGACTTTACGATTTGCGGCTAACGTCCTATCACGAATGCCTGAGGCTATTGACAGGATCGTCCTGTCAACAGCAGGAAATACTGCACTGCTGACAGGATCGTCCTGTCAATAGCAGAAAATACTGCCCTGCTGACAGGATGATCCTGTCAATAGCAGAAAATACTGCACTGCTGACAGGACGATCCTGTCAATAACAGGAAATACTGCACTGCTGACAGGATCGTCCTGTCAGCAGTGCCATTTTTGACACTGTTGACAGGATCGTCCTGTCAGCAGTGCCATTTTTGGCACTATTGACAGGATTTTTTAAATCTTCCATTTTGGGCTCTATTGACATGATTTCTTCTTTGTTTTCATTTTTTTAACCAGTCAGCCAGCTACTGTACTGCAGATTAGGCGTTTCACGATGGCGGCTATCATCACGTTAACAGTTATCAATACAGAGTACTCCAGCAGATATATGTCAAAACTAGACATGTTCAAAATATAAATACAAGCGTATTTCATGCATAAGCTGTCTGAAATACGAAGGCAGGTATGTTTACATAAGATGAAGACAATAAAAAAGACAAAAAGAAGTTGATCTCTATCCATTATTTATTCAACAACAACTTCGAAATCAAATGGAACAAATCCAGGAAAGTACCGCTGGTGTGGCCGGTTCAGCTAGCCGGCCCGCTAACAACAACAGCCCCCTGGCGCGCGTATCCAGCTGGTCACCGAATTTTACCGGCCCCACTGGGCCCCACAGTACCGGCAAAGGCACCGGCGTTTATTTGGCGATAGATTTCGGGAAAAACCGTATTTGTCCGCTACCATTATCCACCCAAACCCCTTCATCCACGCGAAGCCCTGTAACGCCTCGTGCGCGAGGAGATAATTAGACCCAGTGTGCCAAGTAGGTCTGTCGGGAGTATGGCTTCCCATGACTTTTAGGATTTCTCGCGCGCGGGGTGGCACCCAGGCTAGCCCGACGGGTACCCGCCGGTGGACCGCTGTGTCATTCCCGCGGCGCCGGCTGTAGTGGCTAGCGCTTACTGTCGCCCCGACTAGCCTCTACCAGGCACCGTGGATCGCTGGAAAATGTAGAAATTGGCCGAAATAAAGGGAATAT